CAGGATCCCCCACCGGGGGGTCGGCCTCCTCACCTTCAGGTTCCCGAGGCAGGTGCGTCCTCCGGATGTCTGCAAATGCTTGTTCCATCGGGAAGATGAATGTCAGAAGCCGGTCCTCGAATGCCCTCCCAGGTGCCCCACTTCATCGAGAAGGAGAGGGTGACCCTGCTGGATCTCCTGTCCAACATCGGCGGAATCGTCGGGATCTGCCTCGGCGCGTCGCTCCTCACCCTCTTGGACATCGTCGAGCAGGCTTGCGCGAGGATCCACCGGAAATTATTCCCACGGAAAAATGAGGTCATGAACATTGACGGTCGCTGATCCAAGCAAACGATCGTATCGTTTACTCTTTAATGGCGAATCATTCTACCATATTCTCTGCTGTCACTGTTCCTTACAAAGCAACATCAGGAAGTAAATTCCGCACTGCACCGATGAGCTGTTTCGTTCGTCCTTTGATGCCAACATTATCTATAGACATTACAAAAGACATGTTGTAGACATTACAATAGCGATGGTATTATTGTGGTTTTTTTGTTTTAAATTGCGAAATAGAACGTGTGGCCGAAACATTTTGCGCTTGCCAATCCATTACGTGCCGATGACTCATCGTGCCAATCCGTTTTCCTTATGAGTCATGCATTTTAAAAATTTCCTCCGACAGGCGTGCCATCTCGACTGAGACCGTATGGTACCATTTTCCTTCTGGAAGGACCAGATATCCCATCTATTTATCACTTACGCCATCGACTGATTTGAAGTTCACCTCTTTTCTTGCTTTCTGAGGCGACAATCCAGTATTAAAATTAGAATAAAGTAATGTGCAAACCATTTTCAATGGCTTTCTTCAAGCCCTCTCCCTACGGGACTCACTAACGTAAGGCCAAGGCCTAGCCCACAATCAGTGTTCAAATCAGGCCTCGGCCCACCCACCTTTTCTGATCCAAAAGAATCGCAATCCTCCACTTAAGGAGCACATAAGGTCTATAAAGGTCAACCCAGCGGTCTTCGAAAGCTATCCATGAGGACCAGCAACTTCAGATTTGGAGTTTCTCTCACCATCTCGACGAGGTCTGAGAATGCCTCCGAGAATGAAATAGGGAGAGATGATGCAGAATGTTCGACACAGAGGTAAGCCATCTGGGCGACGCGGACTCGCCGACCACTGTGCACGATGGCTTCAACTGCGGCAACTTTTCATGGAGGATGCTCGTTGCTGGTCGTCCGCTGCGTCCGCTGGGCTCCTCTGGCCACGCTTGAAGCAGCTGAGCGCCGTACCGTCCTGAGCGAAGGGGCTTTTTTTGAAGGGACTTGGTTGTAAATTTTATGGCTGCTCTTGCCTCGATTGCATCGAATTCGATGGAATTGCCGGTGGATGGAAGAATATATTTTTTAATAATGATGATTTCTCAGATGACACGCCAGTGCCAATTTTATGCAATCATGCTCTCATGGAATACATTTTATCTGCAGCGTAATAGATTTATTGAATTTCGTTCAAAATCAGTCGAACGACAAAACTTTTGGAGAGTCCTCGTCCATTCTCACAGGACTTTCGAGATATTCCTATGGGATCTCCAATTTCCTCAAGGATGGCTTGTAGGAATGGCATTGCCAGATTCCAGGGCGAGAAGTGCTGACTAGTGACTTTCTCAAACGCAGCTAGAGGCAGTAAGTTGTCCTTTGAATGAACAAGAGACAATGAAAGATGTGGCACATTCGCCTAAATCCCCAAAACAGCGAATGTTCCATTGCATGCAGTATCGTAAAAGCGTCGATTCTTCCCACCATTTTTTCATGCTGAGGGGAAAATGGTTATGCTTTCTTCTGGGAACGAAATAAGCTTGCGAATATGCCACTCCACCCATCCGTAAGACAGGTTTGCGCATCGGCGAGGGTTATACTAGTTCAGGCAGTACTAGTACTGAAGAGAGTACTGTATCCACCATGGAGAAACCCCTACTCGGTAATGAATTTACAGCTGCAATAAGTAGCGCCAATATTGACTCAGGTAGTGACCCCATTCATTAGTGATCCCGTTGGTAACGATAAGGTTTCGAAACCCGAAAAAAAACTTCACCGAAATCTACAGTATAGGTCAGGAGTCATATAGGTTTTTCGTGTTTCAAAAACCTATAGGAAAGTCTAAAGGATTCCTGCAAGAAATATCTATGTGTTTCCTTCTGGCTACGAAATTTTCCATCGGCTTCGTTTACGTACGTCGCCGATCCAGAAAAAAAGAAATTCCTGGAAATTCTCAGATTCGCAGCTCGGAGTAATGAAGATCATTTCCCCTCTTGTCCCCCTTATAAAGGGCAAAAAAAGAGGGCAGTGCGAACGGGCATTTAATGGAAGGAAACGATCGCCCTGCCATAGAACTGCGCTCTATAAATCACCCTTCGATACGTCACGAAACGACAGTCCTTTCGTGACGTGTTTCGAGTCGTTATCGTCACGCTGGATCCGATGCGATTGCACCCCCCATTGAGTCAATCCATTCACGGGCAATCGGATTATTTATCGATTTTCGATAATAGGTGGATTAATTATTAGCGTATGAATGACGATCGATGCATCGACGATCTCATGATCCGTGGTATTATTTATTAATTTCGGTAAGGAGCGAGAAAAATAGGAAAAACGGGATCTCGCTGAAAAGAAAAAATCATGTGGCTATTTATTTATGTCAGCTGTTTATGCCAGCTATTTAAGCACCGTCCTTTCTTCTAAGGACATTGCTATTTTTTTTTTGGCCAGTTGGATGTTGCGAGACCGATTTGACTTGAAATAGTGTTTTCTTTCCTGGACAGCATTTCACTTGGTGAAGCAAAACCGGAAATTTTTGCTATCCAATCCTGACAGATTTCGATTCTTTGCATCGGTTGGACGCCAAAGTGGATGAGAGTCGAAAAAATATGGAGGCTTCCGCGGCTCATCCAAACCAGATGCTGATGTCGAAAGGTGGGCCAGGTAGGGCCGGCCCTGCGGCACGTTGATACGAGATTGTAGCAGTGATCGAATTAAAAAAAAAAAAAAAATTGTTTCTCATTTCGACGGAGCCTGTGTCGTCTCTGGAGAGAATGTGTCCGATGTCGGGATCCCATGCGACACCCCCACGCTGGACTTACGTCGGGACGGTATCGGATTCCAAATTGTCGAGCGCTTGTAGTCCCGTCCTTCAGCCTATATTCTACATTGGGCCACTTTCGAAGCCCACCTCGGGCCATCGTGAAACGCTTGACATGATTTTCAGACGCTTTCGTCCTGTTATTTTCGCGCTCTGAAGGCCGTTGCCAAGGAAGATCACTTTTATCGAACCACTCACAGGCTCCGCAATTTTGCTATTAATCTTCGCCCCCATCGAGTGAGGATCCTAGTTGAACCATCTTCTCGCCGCAGTTGGGTCGAGTGCGTAACGGTACCGTTGAGCCTGCTTAAGCAAGCGCACTTAGGAATTGGAGTGTCTTCCCCAACGTTGTCTGGAGAAAAGAGCGGTTACCGCATGAAAGGTATTGGGAACGTACAGCTGGTCTGCCTGATACCATATCAATTGTATAAATATCGGTAAATATTGATTGAAATATTGATGAAATGAAAAATTATTGAAAAATGACGAATACAAAGTGGATAAATATTCACTTTGTACCGCCATCTTGCTCAATTTGTGAAAATCATGTTCGTTAGATTAAATGAGTTTCGTGGTTCTTCCACAAATGGAGGAAACAAGTTGACTGTCGCACTGGCGCCGAAGTGGGACCCACATGGACAGCCACATGGACAGGATGGTGGCACGCGCTCTCTTCAATCACAGCCAACGTTGGCCCACCGTAGTGTACTGACATGGATTAGTGCCTCGATTCCCAATTTTTACCAATGCTTCTCATTCTCCTTATGATTTTTAAAAATAATTTTCCCTGAACCCTGAATTTGAATCGCTTCGGCTGGAGAGCTTCAGGAATTCTTGCAGGAATCCCTGTCCCCCCCCCCCCCCACCTTCCTTGCCAACCAACTGAGGCGATAAGGGAAGAAGAGAATAGAGCACTTATATGCTGGCAGAGCCAGTCTAAAATTTATTGCACACGCTTCAAATCGAGTCGTTCGAGATAAGGCAGGCTTGAAATCGGGTCAGCCCAGATATGACCGGCCGCAAATCGGGTCGTTCGCGATAACACCCGCACGGTCGAGATGAAAGGTCGAGGGAGAGGATTTTTCCCTCCGGACCCTCAATAATTCCACAAAATTCCAATTTTGAGCGCAATTAGACTTGAATGTAATTAGACTCTTCCTCCGCGGATCAAGTATCCACCGCCACTATTAGTAACGCCAGTGTTCGGTTGTCTCTGGCAGTCATTACGTTTTGTGACGCCCTAATTTTATAATTCTCTAATTTTTATGTTATTTTCTCTGTAGGTCATGGACGCTATTTCACAGCTGTTCTCTGAGTTGTCGATTTAATGGAGCAGAACTCCGCTCGTGTTGAAAACTTGGCATAGCGCGATAATATTTTATTTTATTCCACATTGTCCATTATATCATACATAGCTGACATACCATCATTCAGAAAAATATATTAATGGTCCGATAAAGAATCACAGCTATTTCTCCGCCAGGAGCGTACCTGAAAGCAAAGCGTGAAGAGGGATGCCTTTAAAAAAAAAGTCAAAGGGAATGTGGGATTCAAAACAAGCTTGAAATGGGAAGATAATCCAGAGATTATCCAGAGCCTTGCGATAAGAAGACCAATCCGACTCGACTAGATCGTGAAAGTGAACAAATTTCATCTTGCTGCTGATTTAAGAATAATTTATTCTTCCATCTCACTCAAGGGCCCTTGAAGAGCGAGACTGACATACAGGCGTTACTTTTTGCATTTTACGACTGGCCCAAAAAGCAATTCTGACGCTAAGTTGTACTTGGCAATTAATTTTGGGTCGTGAACCCGGGTGGACACTACCACGAGGGATAATGCGAATGAGAATGCTGTCTTTAAATGCGTGCACCTAGGCATTCGAATTTCCCAAAATTCGATGATGACCACCATTTCTCGACGTGTTCGACATACCTGCGATGCAGGCGGTGAGGAGGCAGGCGGTGGTCCCAGCGATGAGGGCCCTCACGGCGACCTTGCTGAGGTCCGACCTCCTCTCGGGCGCCATCGCGCTCAGCCCTCCCAGCTGGATCCCGATTGAGCCCAGGTTCGAAAACCCGCACAGGGCGTAGGTCGCCAGGATCTCCGATCGCGGCTGGGCGTGCCAGACCAAACGCGTGCGTGATATTAATAATAATGCTCATAGGAACAGAAAGCAATTATGCAACAAGTGACCCGTTACTCAAAACATTGCCCATTGTTGCAAAATTTGAGTGGAGATAAAATGTAAAACACCTAATGTCACCATTGTACATATCAATTCCTGTCAGGATGTATGACAAAAATCGCATGTCTCGATTTAAATCACGATACGAATTACCATTACCATATCACACGATCCACGGCGAAAAGAAAGAAAAGGCAACGACAACATCTCCCATCATAAAGTCACGAATCCCCGCCGCTATTCCGCACGAACTGCGGCTTCAGTTCGACGTCCCATCTCGTAAGATCATTTCCATTTTTTTATTCTCCGAGCAATGGGAAGAAACCGTGCGGGACCGTTTTTGCAATACGTTGGGGTTCTAGTTAGTCTGCATGCAAAAAAAAAAAATTGCGTTCTTCATTGCCAAAACATGCAGGCATCGACGTCGTAGGCAGATTTGAACCGCCCATTTGAATCATCCTCGAATCGGACGTCAAACGAAAAATTATTTATTATAAAATTATAAAATTATTGCTTCGTTAAAGCGCGTTGAAGGTATTGAAAGGCACTCCGCAATTTATATTTATATGCCATGCCCACTAAGATTTATAGCTGTTGATAAATATTGATTAATAAATATTTTGGTGAAATCGGCAGGAAACTTGCATTTTGCAATTTTGTCGATATCTACTTGTGACTTTTCGACGGAAAAAAAAAATCTTTTTGCGTCCCTGGATTCGTTACAGGATTTTGGCAAATGCCAGATGCAAACTGAAGAAAAATGCATGGACACTTTACAACCTGAAACAGGGGAAATAATTAGACGCGGTGACATTCGCAATTCGGTTCTGAAAATTTTCATTTTTCATTTCTTGATGCAGCGTGTGATCATGCTAAATCTCGCATCGAATCATATATTAATCTCGAATTCTCTCTCTAAAAAAAAAAAAGTGAGAAGAGAAACGGAGACCTTACATCTGAAAAATTGTCCTTGATCTCCACGAGCCTCAAGTACGCGACGAACTCGTTGATGATGGTCTTCATGCCGATGAGCTCCCCCACCATCTCGCAGTCGTCCCAGGGAACGCCCATGATGTAAGCGATCGGGATGAACGCCTTCCCGATCAGGAACTGTTCGAAAGGGGTGGAAAACTCGGTTCGCAGTGGTGACGTGAGGTGGCGTTATTAGTACTGGCAGCGAGTATTGTCATTATAGCAGAAATTAGGATGTAGCCGCTGTGGCTGAAATTAGGATGTAGCCGCTGTGGCTGAAATTAGGATGTAGCACTGTGGCTGAAATTAGGATGTAGCAACGGTAGAAAGAAGTACGCAGTCAATATTTACCCCAAATTTTGCTCATATTCTAAAGCTCATCTTAACTTGTATTCTACAACAGATTCCTCTTCCGAGCACTAAATGCGTCGGACTTCTACAAGCACTGGGCGACACTGGACACAAACCGACCTGGAAGGTAACACCCTCCCATCCGACCAGGAGGGCGAGCCACTCGATGAGGCCGTCGAGGAAGGCGACGAAGGCGAGCATGGCGATGAGGTTCGCGATGATGTTCGCGACGAGGGAGATGGCGTTGCTCGCTCCCGTCGCCGCCGCGTCCAGCGCGTTCGCCTCCGTCCTGCAACGTTTTCAAGAATGGCTTCCGTTTACATGGAAGTTTTCCTGTACTTCGAGGGAGCGAATGCTTTGCGTCCGAGAACAATTTGTCCATGAATCTGTTTTCACGTGACAGATCCCACGTTCATAAGATATTTCTAATAAAAGTGTCAAAAGGATCAGAATTTTAGGAATGATCAGAATTTTAGGAATGATCAGAATTTTAGGAATGATCAGAATTTTAGGAATGATCAGAATTTTAGGAATGATCAGAATTTTAGGAATGATCAGAATTTTAGGAATGATCAGAATTTCAGGAATTATCTGAATTTCAGGAATGATCTGAAATGCAGGAATCTATTTAATATTCGAAGGAAACGTCGCGGCTTCGGAATTCGTAAGATTTCCGCCGAGACCCCCGAGAACACCGAATCGATCCCTCCGCGCACCCCTTCTCGATCTTGATGTCCGTGGTCTTCGTGTGCGACTGCTCGGTCTCCGGGTAGAAGAGCTTGGAGCAGGCGAGGGCGGCCGGGGCCGACATCACGCTCGCGGAGAGGAGGTGCTTCCCGCTCACGCCGAACGACACGAACGCGGCGAACACCGTGCCTGCGAGGGGAAAAAAAAGGTGCGTGAGAGCGAGGATGAAAATATGCGGAAGTGGCGAGGAAAATATTCGAAACGCAAAATTGGAAATTCCATAGAGAAAAATATGAGAATGATATTCAGTTGATGCTAATGAAGTAAAATCCTAAGTGAATTCATGAATATTTGGATTCATAACTAATTCCATGAGAAAATCATGATCATTTCTTTGAGCGAGCAGTTTAGGCACGTCGACATGGTCGAGACTCGGAAACCTTTCTTTAAAAGAAACCGTTTTCCTTCCGCACACGAGTCCATTGCCCTCTTCGACCCGAGTTTCCGTCGCTCAAGATGAAAAGCCCATGGAAATTGCAAAATGGACTCGATGAAGTGAGGACGAGGGATGGGGAACTCGCCTGCGATGGTGGCGAATCCGCCGGTCATGACGGCGTGGATCTCCGACTTGGTCATCAGCGGCAGGTAGGGCTTGATGAGGATCGGCGCCTCCGTCTGTCAGCCGGAACGAGAGGGGAAAAGACAGCAGCGAATTAATATTCGTGAGTAATGAGTTATGAGTGACGATCGCTCCGAAATGAGTGACGATCATTTATTTGAGAATGTTATTGTCCTTTCGAAGTGTGAGGAGAAGATTTTGTTCTCAAAGTAGAACTAGTTTTCCATTAACAATAGACCATGAACATGGAAAAATCTGTCGCTTCAACGTGGAAAAATTCGGATATGTTGGCCATTATGCACTCATCGCCAAAAAAAAAGTCATACCAAGTTAGGAGCTGCGCGATCTTGATGAAATTAAGTAACCATAACCGACCTCGATCGAACTGGTGAAATCGGCGAAACTGCATTTCTCAAACGCCATCCTGGCATCGGTTTACAGACGAGAATTTGAACGATTGAAGCAAATCAGACTGGATGGAGAGGGAGGCAGAAAAGGGAAGCCGGCCTGATCAGCGCAGTCGCTCCGTTCCCTCATCCCTCACGGCCAGCTTCATCGCTTCGTCCTGCGACCTTTAAACTTTGCTCCAATGTTCTAAGCATCAGTAGAAGTTCCTGCTTTGTATTTCGTTAATGAACTCCTTCTAGATGTTTTTTGCGGACGATGAGTACGACCCTTCCGACCCCATTTAAATTGGGATGTTTCACTAGATTCCTCTGCGAATATTCAACCCACGACCTCGAAACTGGCATCAATTCCAAGACACACTAATACGAGTATGATTACCAAATTTCATCAAGATCGCTCAACTCCTTCTTGGTGCGACTTTTTTTTTGGCGATGAGTATGCGATGAAAAAAGGAAGCGACACGACTGGAAGCGTCGATTCATCAACGCTTAGCCTGTTCCTTGTCTCCGCTAAAAGATAACAGCTCCGAACGTAATCTAAATTTAACCTCGACTTAATCTAATCCAAAAATAGTCCTGAAGCGAAAGATCAGTTCTTCGCCCTCGTGCAATAACTTCGTCTAGAAAGTATGTGCACAAAATTCGCAGAGAAGGTTCTCGCTCTGGGACGGTTCATGATTTTCGCTTCAAACCACCGCTTCATGGTTGAAATTCGCTTTTCGATTAATGACTCTGCGTTACTGAGGATATTAATTACACGTCGGTGGGATGATTGATTGATTGATTAGCAAGTTTATATTAAGTTTAGATTAAGGCAAGGTTTATTTTTAGATGAAGTTCAGCAATGGTGAGGGAAATGTCCTTGGAGAAGTTTCTCCGGCAAAATACTCCTGGAATTCCAATATCAAAGCCTTCAACTCGGAACCTTCCAGTTAAAGTTGTGCGAATAATCCTAATAATTCGGATGTTCCTAATAATAATCCTTGAAACTCATTGAGAAAATTAATTGTTTTTGAGACCGTCGATTTCATCAGGCTAATTAATTCGATACGGGACGGAAAGTCCTGCGCCACGATCCTCGACGCACGCCCGCACGCCGCGCACGCGCACGCCTCACCTGCCCGACGAAGATGTTGGCCGCGGCGTTCATGGACTCGGCGGCCGTGGTCCCGATGGTGACCTGCAGGAGCCAGCCGATCTTCAGCACCACCCACTGCATCGCCCCGTAGTAGAAGAGGATTTGGATGCAGAAGCTGAAGAAGAAGATGACCGGCAGGACCTGCAGAGCATGGGACACGTCACGTTTCCATCTCGAAGGTGTAAGGAGCTTCCATTAGTTTGAGTTTGGAAATGACAAAAATCTAAAAATTAAATGGTAAGTTTAAAGATCGAGATTCATAATTGCGTACCAGTTTTGCTGCTCCTGATAGCAAGCGCATTCCGCGCTTGGTAGGCCGACGAGGCCAAATGACAAACAACCACTCCCCCTTCCCTCAATCACAGACCTTGAAGGCGAGGCTGACTCCGACGTCGATCGGAGCCTCAAACCAATCGGTCCCATTGGTCATATTGAGGGTGCTGCCCGTGACGATGAACCCATAGACGAACTCCGTCCCCTTGTCCGTGTAGGCGAGGAAGTTGGTGACCTTATCCGACAGGCACTGGAACGTCTGCTCCCCCAGATCCCACCGGAGGATGATGAGGCCGAAGAGGAACTGCAGGCCCAGCCCCCATGACACCTGGCGCCAGTTCACCTTTTTCGAGGGAAAAATCAGATTTAAGCGCGTGGAAGAAGGGAATTCATTTTTTCATCTCTCATGGTTTATGCTCGTAACTAATTATTATAATAAATTATGCACATATTTTAGATATGAAGCCAAAAGCATGAAAGATCAGTGGACAAGGCTTCCAAATGCGAAGAAAATACGGTTCACCTTAAGAATTTTGTACCAGATCGGTACGGCGCCAAGTGTGATATCAGCGTAAGTGGTGATTCAGGCTCTAATCTCAAATGACAGAGTCAATGAAAGTCATTAGAACCGTAATCAGTGCTTAACCGAAAAATATAGTGCCACTAAACTCTCTGGTTTTAATGGAAGACGATTTCTGAGCCTTGAAGTCTCAGAAATTCTAATCTTTTAAGCCCCACAATTTCCTGGCCTTGAACCCCCACAATTTCCGGGACTTGTAGTCCCAAAATTTCCGAGCCTTGAAGTCCCACAATTCCTGACCCTTGAAATCTCTCAGAATTTCCTCTCCTTCGCACTTCGACCTCGACACTCGACCTGACCCCACCTTCCTGGGATTCTTGGAGAAGATGAACCCGAGGAGGATGAGCACGCAGATGCCTCCGACGGAGATGAGCCGGCGGCGATCGTCCTTCGTGTCGAACCCCAGGAAGACCGCCACGGCCCCGAGGAGAACCACGTAGATCCCGACCACCACCCATCTTCGAACCGGAAAAAAAACGAATTCGAGTCTTTGGTGGGAATGCGCAACAGCTGAATGTTAAGCGAATGCTTAATAGCTTCCAAAGCCCGACATACATATTTATCCATTTAAAAATTATTAAAGATGATAGAATAAGAGTGTTTCGACATATTATAACATATTACATACAACAATAATAGTTGATACAAACAATTATGATGCTTCCAAAGTAGTCTTCCAAGTCTCATTAAGTTTCCTTCGATTTAAATAACTGGTGTTTCCTCCATCGACGCTTCCTTTCACATGCATCAGCCGGAAAGCACGCCAAGCACTCGACAAAAACAACTCGTTGATTCATTCAAACCTTAGCAGCTTCACTTTCTCTTATTTTTTTGTTGCCAAGTAATTGCGAATAATTTTTTTTTCCTATGCTAAAAATCCTGTGATGAGACGAGAAGTCCTCTGTTTCCCTTCCCCTTTTATTGAATCTCTTTTTTGGATCGTAAGCCTCTCTCCTAAGTCTCATAAAATGCTCATGAAGTCAATGGCGAGAGCTTCGTATGCCTTCGAGGGTGTATAAGGTGCCAATCGGGCAATCTCCATTCGGAAGCTGCTCCACCGTTTCCTCCCATCGGCTGAGCTCGGTTAATCCGGAGCTGAGGATTATCCTCTCGCGATCTCGCTGGGTTCTGAACCAGCCGCCTTCAGCGGCCGCCCTCGAATCTCGCCAGCCGCCTTCAGCGGCGAGGATGAGTCTGCCTACTCTCTCAATGGATTTCTTGGCATCTTTGCGAATTTGTCAAGTACCTACAGATACTCAAATTCAATTAGGCTGCATTCTGGACGAAGCTGAGGATTTGGCTTAGACTCATTATGGGCTGAGACTCATCATGAGACTCATACGGTTGAGATAGGGGCAAAAAAGAGCCTACAAGCCATCTCTGATTTTCTGCAACCGCCAGAATCACCGACTACAGAATTACGAGAGTATTGATGAACGCTAATGTAAAAGAGACTATTGCGGGAAATATTAATTCGTACCTCCCCAGTGGGGTAAGACGCTTGCCAACAACTTAAAGTTGCTCATTGAAGGGCTTATATTTATTTGAACTGGAAATTCACGGGGAAAGAAGCTGCACCAAGAAACACTCGCCCCCCCCCCTTCACCCCCCCCCCCCCTCACCCCACCCCGACACATACTTCCCAGAAAATGAGGAATCAGCGTCACCTTTTTGAAAGCAACGGCGACACCGAATCCACCGCCGAGGACAAGGTCTTGCTGAACCCCGTCCTCACCGCCAGCATCTTCACCCCGGCATAGGCGAACCCCAGGACAACGAGCCCCGTGATGATGATCAGGAACCCGAGCCCCCCGCAGAAGTCGATCGGGATCTTGTTCTTCGCGTGGTGCGCGATGGCGACCGCCATGTACACGACGTAGACGGCGAGGACCGTCCCCCAGACGCTCCGGTTCACGACCCGCCGGTTCTGCGATATGAGCCCCTTCCAGTCCAGCCATCCGCCGCCTTTCGGGCGCTCTGACCAGTTCTCTTCCATCTGGGAAACATGCGGTGTTCGGAATTAGTATGTTTTTTTTTTCATCCGTTGTATTAAATTGTTATTCACGTATCGGGTGGTTATAAATAATCCGCACTTTACCGCTTAATATCTCAGAAACGGTTTGACATATGAAGCTGAAATTCCGGAAATGTGTTACGGGGACCATGCGATCAAAGACGACATAGCTTTCACATGTTGTAATCAGGGGTGACATCGTGACTTAATGCCTCACTAATCATGGCAGGTGTTCAATGTGTGCGCCTTCTGTGTCCAAAACCCATAACGAATAAGTTTCTTTAGAGGGACCGCGATGTTCTAGTACTGTTCGACTTGGTATTTGTCAATTTCAATAATATATTTTTTCGATATCTTCCAGAATTCTAAAAAAAAAAAAAAATGGAAGATTCCGAGCGCTTGGGGAGTAAAAAGTGGGCACACAGTGAGCTTTTCGAATTTACTCTTTTATTACTCACCAAATGCTTCCTCATCCCTCGTATTGAAGTGAACACCTTGAAGTTCTTTGCCAGGTCACTAGATGGAGGAAAGGGTTTCGCTTGCCGCACAGTACTCAAAAGTTCCCCTCCCTCTTTCCTTGGAATCGTTTAGTACCTTGCCATATGTCTCGCCTAGTCTCATTATAGGAATCAATCAACACGGACACTTCATAATTTATTATACACATATTCAAGACAGATTTATAGAATCCAGACCATAAATAAGCTCATATTCCTATTGAGAACTCTTTTGGAAGACGAATGATTTTATCCGCATATAAGACCTTGAACATACGGTGTCCGTGAAAATAATTCAATCTAATTTCTATTAAATGAGGTTAAAAGAGTCTGATATCCCAGACACTCCACGGAATCTACAACAGGTGTTCCACCCTCTAACATATGCTGTAATCAGTACGGTCAGAGGTCGGTCAACGCCTGTACGAGAGCGAAAGCGACACAGAGTACATATGAGAATTTTCGTATTTGCATGACATCCCTATCACTTTCTGATGGGAGCTTTTTTTCTCATGCAGGAGAGCAATATTACTCCTTGGCGATGGAGCAAATTCGCTCCTTTCCCAGAGTGAAAGGGGGGTGAAAATGGAGTTAGCTATTTTACTCCATTTTTTTGAGAAAAATCGCTCACCTTTTTCTACTGTAATAGTAAAACGCAAAAAAAAAACAAAATCCATATAACCCCATTCAGAGACCAGAATGATGCTATTTGGACTTGCTGTGAGCTTCTTCGGTTGAGTCAAGCCCGGATAGGGTTTCGACTCCCAGAAATGTGAATCATGTGGGAGTGCCGGATGCGCCGGATGCGCCGGATGCGCCGGATATGTAGTCTTTTTGCAGTTTCGTTTCTTTGACCTCACGGTCCCCCGTAACCGCCCTTGGGCAATTTCAGCTTCTTGTGTCATACTGTTTCTGAGATATGATGGGTTTAAATGCGGAAGTCTCTTAATACTCACAATGAATAAATTATACAATTCAGATTATGTATTTTATCATTGTATTCTTTAACATTTTATTACTGCATTATTAAAATTTGTGTCTGAATTAGAATAATATTTTCCCTTTTTTCGCGTTCTGTCACAACTATCTCCATTCCCTCCGCCGCGAACGTTCGCGGAGGACCTGCGGGAAGGCAAAGAAAATTTGCCACTTTCGCGGAAGGAAGCAATGGGACTAAATACATTCTCAATCGGGTCTGCATGAATTGGGATGACTGAATTGACCTTGGACTTTCTGTGATGAAATTATTCTACTTTTTGTTTTGGAAAATGTTCCTTTTGCCTCATTTTCATGAAATAGCAAAATAATTATATATCTGGCCATTTAGAATGATGTACACAAGAATAAATCAAGAAATCTCATCAGCCTATGCTCTGAGGCCTGAACCCATGATAAATATGCCCCACCTGGAACGTTACTTGCATGCTTCATAAAAACCAACGCCCATTAATGACCATGACACGACGGCCATTTTTCCTGCAGGATCGCATCGATCCTCCAATTTCTTTTTGTTGGGCTGCGTCCAGGGGCATGTCGCAGCCGGCATGTCGCGTCCGATAGCCGCGCGTGGATCGGGCGGCTATGTTCATGTCTGGTCATATCCGCGTTTTTACCCTGGGATATCTGTGTAGTATCGTGGGAGCGATGTCACCGTGGTGCTGATGGTATGGGATAGTGTTTCGCTTGTTTTGATTCTCAGATGCTGGATGAGAACATGATGTTATTTTTTTTTTTAAAGTTTAGTATCAAAACAGCATATCTTAGCAAAAAGCAGTTCTTCAATTTTTTTTTTTCAATTCGGGGAAAATCTGCTCCACAACATTTCTATGCAGCATAATTAAGTTCGTGAAGTGGTACATGCCATGTAAGCGGTGACGTCAATCGCATTCAAGAGTGGGTGAAAATCAATGTCAAGGCAATAATTCATCCCTCAGGCCCTGATCAGATTGAGTCCTTGGTTATTGGCTTGGTTATTATTGGCTTCCACTCCGTTCCCCTCCCTCCTTTCCTTTCCCTCTTTTTTTCCCCTCTTCTGTATCCTTTCTCCCTTGACCTAACCTAACGTCATGATTGATATACGTTCCTGCAAAGAATTTGCCAGAGCCCCCAAAAATGTATTCATTTCCCCCGGACGTCTTCAACAGATCCCGCGACTCAAAGCCCACTCACAGCTTGGATGAGGTGATGCGGCGAAGCGGCGGGGTCGAGGTGAGACAGCGGGGCGAGGGAGGCCCTGGGGATCTGGGCCGCCGGGGCGAACTCGTCCTCCACGAAGGCCGCGTTGCCGAAGCCTTCCGGGTCGTCGTCCCATTTCCGACTCCTCTTCCTTCCGTCTCCCCTGCGGTGGGCAAAGTCGGTTCATCGAATGGCGAACGCATTACGAAGGGGGTGAACTTGTTATGGTGATGTAATGGAAAGAATACTCGCTTTAGTTTCATGGATTCCAGTCGCGTAGGAATCTTGTGTCTGGTCTTTCGTGTCCAAGTAACTTTTTAAAATATATTTCGATCATTTCGGCTTTATTTTGACATGGTCTCGTTGCTCCCCCCCCCCCCCCCCCCCCCCCCCTCCCACACATACACACACAAGTGCGTATGGTACTTACAATCGCATTTATAATTACAGTACAATTTTCAGCAAATTACTGGGCTATTCCTGGATCTGTTTCACGTTTACTGTTTACCATTTATTGTTTACTGCTCACTGTTTACCACTTTCGGGGCACCCAAGTGTTTCAGAATGGGGGAAATTCACCCACTTTTCCCCAAGACTGCGTGGCACTTAGAGATTTTTAGTCATTTTCCTCTTCTCTCTAGTGAAGGGAAATATTCAATTCTAAAAATGAAACATATTGATGGACTCAAGAAAAGGATTCTTAACTAAAGAAGTTTGGTTTAGTGCCTTGGAGCCAGCCACATTGACTCGTTTCTTAACCTGAGCGAAGTGATAAGACAACAGATTCGCGAAAACTGACAAGGCCAGCCTGTTGGAGCATTTCCCCAAAATCGTCCATCATGCTAATCGTGTTTTTTTTTCATGTCATCATCATCCTGATTTTCCGGCAACGATGTCATTCCCCCAGATTGAGTTCAGCCAGAAATTTTAAATGAATTTTTTGATTCGAGCTCATTCATAATCCCCTCCCCACTGTCCATTCCGAGTCCGGTCTATTTTTCTTCCTTTTGTGTTTATCTACTATTCCATTTAGAGCAAGAATAATTCAACTTCGTTCTTTCCTGTTGTCTATGCAATTAGTTGTCAGTCTCCGGAAGTGGATCCTGTTTTGATAACCTCATTAGTAATTCTCTTTTATGTGAAAGAAAAATTGCATACCATATTCAAATGAATATACAGATACTAGGGATTTTGCTTGCCCTTCAGACATTAAGCTCGCTACGTTCAAGCCCTCCGGCCCCGTCAATATACGACAATAGAGAATCCTACTGAAACATAAGCTTCCGACCAAACACTGCGGGAAGATTCTTAGATAACGATTATCAAAGATTACGGGTATTTTTAATTTCTTAATCGAATGATTTCCTGTCTTGTGACATCATTTCCAATGCATAAAATGGAGATATTTTTCAGAGATAATTGTCCATGAGAGATATTTCTGCACCTTAAATAAACATTCTATAGCTCCCCGAAATTTTAAAATTAAAAATTGCCCATTTTATTGATGAAAAAGTGGAGGCAGGTGAAACGTAGGGGAAACCAGCGAAACTCGAACGCTGAGGCTAAAAGAATCGACTGCTTGTTCGACGTTCTCTCCGGTGATTGAATTTTCTCGCTGCAGTTTCCCCGTTTTATGGAAGATTATGATTTCCCAAGATATTTCGGTCGTGAGAAGTACGAGTGCAAAATCTGAACGCGTTCAGATATTGGATATGAAACTATCATGTTCCAGTCGTAAGGTATCTCCACAAAAGTGATTCCATAAACTGCGTGTTCATGCACAATTTAGTGTAAGAATTCCTTTGGGAATACGTTAATGGTAGGATAATATCCCACCAGTTTGGATTGATAAGACATTGACCTGAGCGCATGCTCGGCTTAACCTTGCAAATCCATTGCCCGTCGAAATAAAAATGGGAACGGTCGTGAAAGAAACAGATTAAAAAACAGAACCATACAAAGATCTTAAGAAATTTCTGATTCTGATGTTGATAATCTAGGTAATCCAGCCAGATGAAGCCCACCTCTCTTCGTGTATTTTGATGGTACATTTGATGGTTACTCTTATGGGTTTTGTTTTCCCCTTTTCCCTTCTCATTGTATTCCATTCTACTAGAATGAAATATTCATTTTACTTAACTCTGTACGTGCTTCGAAAATATACTCATATTCCAAAAAAAAACATTTGATTCCTCGTATGTTTGCTCTTCTCCTACGGAAACAAAAAAGAGGTGACAGAATGTGCAAACAGATCCGGCAAACAATAGTGACTAGGATAGCTGAAGCTGGCTGTACAGATAACGGAGTGAAAGGGAGAAATTCCGCGTTCGAGTCACGGAGCGCATCCGTTCGACTCAAGACGCAGCACGTGCAATTATTGCATGTTCTTATTCGAGGGGTCATGAACCCTCTCTTTATTCCTACCACAACTTTACCCTTGAAAACAGATAGTTTCAGAGAGGAGCAAAATAAAATGGTCGCACACTGGATGGCCATTATGGGCTGAGAAATATTTGCCGCTATGGGATGGAACTCAAAAACCAGGATTCTCCTCAGAATCGTATTTCCTGAAAATTATTTTTATTTTAATTTAGTTTTTTAAGCGCAGAATTTCAGTTTTCTGTATTTTTGTCTATATTGGACGAGAGCATTTTAATGAAAATTGGTCCACAAAACGATATGCCCAAAAGGGGCGTGTCCTAGGGTAATGGTTCTTTTCTAAATATGCATCTCAACAGGTACACCTGTACCCATTGTAAGGCTTCAATGTCTCTTCGTTTAGTGGGAGCTGAAAATTTTTGGGAATTTATTATGTTCGAAAAAGGGAACATTAAGGGAATGGTACCTTAAAAACTATGAAATTTCCATTATCGTTATGCCAGGAACTAAAATATTGACACACATCAGATGCCTTTAGTTCCACGTTCTGAGGCTGTGATATATTTAATGAGGAAAATTCTTCAATAAATTCCCTAGTGAGGAAAATCTCACAAGTAAACAGTTTTCGTTAACATTAGTCTCCATGAAACTACATCCTTACTGAGATCCAACTTTGTATATTTGATTGTTTGGATACAGCGAAATGATTTCTCCAAAATGAGTCTCTTCAAAAATGTGTCTTAAGGATATACATATTTTAAGAACATTTTCAATAAATTACTCTATCGACAACTACTTGAGTACTAAATTTCTCTTTTCTCCACTAGTGTATTTATCTGGAAAATGTTATTTTAAGATATCTTCCCACCCCCTCGAAACATGTACCCTTAGAAGTAGGGTACATCGTAATATAATTATCCTGGGAAAAACTGCATTAAACGTTTTGCCTTTCCATATATTCTGGTCTGGTTCAAGCGAAGTGATTTTGGATAAAAGCTTCAGCGAAAAAAGTCTACCGAGGGGGGTGGGGGGGGTAAACCTCAATGGGATAAATTTAGTATTCAATTCAGTACCATTATAATTAATTGTAAACCAAATTTCAGCTTTTAATACTTTCTCCTTTAGGAAATAAATTCTTTAAAATTAACCATATCGAAAAATATACCATGAGACCGTAAGCTTCAGCTTTCTTTCTTTCTCCGATTAATTAGAGGGAAAGGTTTGAGGAAAATGTGCTTTCACAAAAAAATGTGACCGAGAATCAAGATTATTGTTGGAATTACCTTGAGAATTATTTTTAATGCAAATTTCAGCTCTCCGTGTCTTCCCGTTTCACAGGAGTGATGAAAAATTAAGATTGTTTGGCTGCAAGAAATATATACCATAAGGGATCATATTTAAAGTGTACCATTGTTACTTATCTGAGCTATTGGTAAACAAGCTTTCAGGTATTTAAATCTTTCGGCTACTTTGCATTAAAAATTATTCATATCAAGTTTCCAGCTTCTATCAATCTAGAGCTTAGTTGTAACTAGCATTAAACAGTCACTCACTCAGTCACGCTGGCCGAAATACATTTAATAAAATATGAACGATATAGAACCTGTGGAATGGTATTCCTGCACTAGATATCGGTATTTCTCCAATCGGGATCGCCATTTCATCCGCGAACCCACTCTCCCGTAAGGCTGATTTGCCCATCTCTATAGCGGCGTTGCTAAATCTCCGATCACTTTTTCTCGCATCCTCCCTAGAGACAGAGTAATGTTGAGTTCAAGGCATAATGGGTGAATAAAACCGGAAGATCATTTAAAATAGAAATACGACGCATTCGCATTCTCTATGCGAGTCTTCTGGGAATCTGGTTCCGTGTCCTTGGAATGCAATGAAAGGATTTTCTTCAGCGCGACGGGATTTTCTGAGATGAAATATTCCGTTTTTCATTAGAAACTCTTCAATTCGAGTCAGGAAAACGACCAATATTAACACCGCAAAAATAGCGATTTCTCATTTATATGCAGTTAATTTTCAGTTGCTCACAAATGTTTTGGTGGAAAATAAACATTGAAATCTCCAAAAGGCATGCTGAGAAACGGTACATAAAATTCTAATATTAAGGGGGAATTAAAGGTGAAATGATAGATCAGTAAGCACTTGAAATCTTTATGTGGAAGGGACTCCATTTTATGAACATACTAATGGTAGAAAGGAGAAAATCATGAATTTCGTATCGATTGATAAACTCCGTCCCCGAAATCTGCGGTAGGCGGAGTGAAAAACATACTAAGTCTCTCTGGACAATGACTCCGTTCTGGTGGCATCGTGTTAAATGTGTATATCGATAGATACGGAGACTGAAAGCTGGATTAGATAACATCAGGCGACGTTCTAGTATTTACAGAGCACTTGGGTCTTTTCATCTTGGGAATGTTTTTCTGGGGTCATACGCCCCATGCAAGTTCGTGCATGAATCGAGATGATAATGTGGGTCATATTATGAAATATGTGGAGCATATTTGAAGAAATATGAATATTTCAGTAAAATTGAACGTGAATAACGGATGTATGTCTGAACAAATTCAAACATGGTGGCACATCGATTGAGGGATCATTACGAACTCACATTACCCAGGAAAAACAGGAATGAAGTGAAACAGTCAACCAATTCGTCACGATGATGTGTTGGATAAAATACAAAATATGGAGAACCTTTCGAACGGTATTCCTCCACCAGGGATTGGTATTTCTCCATGGGGGATCGGAATTTCTTCGTCAAATAGACT